TAAATATCATTTTTTTTATAATGATTTAATATTCGTTAAAGAACTCTTTGCTAAAATTTAGATTGAAAATTCTTAAATGAATTGTGTACCGAGCAATAACAATAAGCTGACTTTGTTGTTTAATTTTCTTTATAAGTCTTAATTGTAAATCAATCTCGATATCTTATATTATATTCGATGTTTTAATGTTGCATAAATGAAATATGTAACGTGTAATTTATGCATCATACTACTTATTACCAATAGAAACTAGAAATTATCATGCGAATGATGCAACATAGATAATAAACACTCATAAATAGTAAACGCATACACGTACTTGAAATGTCAGACGATTATACATCATTTACTTTGAAAAATGTTAGACGATTATACGTTATTTAACTTCTATTTTCTGTAATTCGCATTATTTTTTATTTATTATAATACTCGCTAATTAAATTTGAATAAATAAATCGCATATTATGCAATAGATTAGGCACGATTTGCATTTCTCGGCCGATTTTCGACTCAATTCCATTTTCTGCTAAGTAGATACTCCTCTCATGCGTAAGATTGAGCGCTTACATGTTGCTTCATTCTATCTTAGTTATGTAATAAACAAAAAAAAAAGATAGAATGAAGTTTACAGCGTGAGCGCCCAAAGCAAAGAGGGTGGACTCATATTATGAGTGTCATACTACGGCGTTCCTAAGCGTCGAGTGACATTTGAATTGCGCGCGGGGCAAAGAAGTGAGAAGAATAGCAGAAGGCGGAGCCGAGTCGAAAATCGATCGAAAAGCGCAATATCGTGCCCTGCAATAGATTATTAAAGTACGTAGTGTAAACTTTTACTACTTTCTTTAATCCCTTCAGACCTGATTTTACTATGTTAAAAAAATTTTGTCTATTTCTCCAAAATATATATTATTATCTATTATATATACGTATCGACAGGAATGGTGTCTCCCGGCGTGCGGCATTACATTATATCATATTTTTTATATTTTTTTTATTATATGTTCTTATATTTAACTGTAAATTTAATTTTACAATCTTGTGATACAAAATATTAATTTCATTTGCACACTGCAAATTTATAAATGCAAAGTTATTACAATACAATGAGTCTTAAAATTACACGTAATGTTGTAATTATGCACAAAATGTTTTACAGTATTAAAAATTTTTATGCATAATTACAATATTTTGTGCATAATAAAAGTATTATTATGAATATCGGCGAGCAAGAGTCACTGGAGTATCTCACTCGTACTAGTAACAAATGTGTGAGACAGCGAAAGCCGGCATCACATCCAATTACACAATTTTCTCTCTCAATCGTGCGCCTTGCGCTAAGGACAGAATATCGGAACGCCTCCTCCCCTACTACTTTCTCCCTTCGCGCTCCTCACTTCCACCGCATTTCCAGTAACATGTATGTGTGCGCTTCGGTACAAGTGTGTACCGCCGCGCCGAATGCCAGGGACATCATTCCTACCAGTGCGTGTATGTCAGATCTTAGAAAATGTCGACAGAATTAAATAATTAATAAACAAATAATGTCTTCAAATTTGATGTATATCACAATATACGCAGGATTTAAAGGGATTTAAAGCGGAAGAAGAAATAAAAAATATTTCTATGTAGAATTATTAAGACCTTCAGAAAATAATAATTTCATTTTTCTCCCCACCGTACTAGTTTATAAATCATTCTTTTTGTGCTTTCAGATTAATTTAAAGTCAAATAGATGTCTAATACAAGAACTCGACCTTAAACACATAAAAAAAGTTCCATAAAAAAAGAAGGGAACATTCTTTCACTTACTCATTATGTCGAATTGAGGCAGCCATTTTCTGGCCATAACGTTGTCCAGCTTACGCGGTAGTTTATCAGCCTCCCACTTCCAAATAACTTTCCGCGGTATGGAGCCAATCACCTTTAATATAGCATTCAACTTTTCCTGTGGTATCGATGACATCTTGATCATGGAGCCTAAATTAAAATATAACACTCCCTCATGAGCGCTGTCAAGAAATTCAGCTACGTCCTTCGGTAGCGGATTGACTCTGGACGGAATGTGAAGTCCACCGATTTCTATCACATTCGGCAGCTGAGGCCTGCTGCCATGAATGCTACTGTGGGTATTCACCAATAACGCTTGCGATTGCAGGGCGATTTCTTTCAACTTGGGAAGATCCGTACCAAAGACTTCATTGGCGACAACTTGATCGACAGATCGAAAGTAATATTCATAAATCGCTTTAGACAATAACAGCCATAATGCATTTTTTATTCGACTGAAGAAATCTAAAGGTTTAGTTAATCCAAGTAATATAACCGGGATGTAACTGGGATTATCAGTATTAGCCATGTCACTATTGGTCCATGGCATAATTTGATGCGATGATAAGGCCATATATGGTGCCTTAAAGCGATGAATAAAACCCAAAAAACAATCGGTGTTGAAATTTTCTGTAAGAATTAAGTCAAATTTTTCATCGGATTGAAGAAATTTTTTGACACTCGAACTTCGCAAACCGGTACTGCACGCATAATCTGCCATGAACCTCAACATGTGGAGATCCAGCATGGGACGAAACCATCCATGGTTGATCTGGTGAAGATCTACAACATTTACAAAGATACCGTCTTTGGCAGTCACCAGACTGACGTCCTTATAATTGGGCAGCGGCTCTTTCACCTTAGCATTATCGGTCCTAGGAAAATACGAGATCACAGTGAGTTCGTGACCTCTTCGAGCTAGTTCTTCCAGAAGCGGCTTGAACACGTCAAAATGACTCTTGCCAGGATGACCGAAGACACCAAGTATTTTAAATTTTGTTTGCATTGGATTCACAAAAGTCTGATTGACAGCCAAACAACAAGTAGAAAACACTATGATTAAAGAGAAAACAATAAATGAATGTGTCTTCCGCATGTCGCAAATATGTTGAAATAAATTAATTCAAGGTAAGTAGATACAAGTCGATAATTTCACCAAAAAACAATCGATCTTTTTCGTAGGTCTTTGTCGACAACGAGCGAACTGAAAATCAGTCAATCAGCCTGTCCATCTATTCCTTCAGCATACAGACAACTGTTGAGTGATTATGCAACGATTGTCAGCATATATGTTACTAATAAAACACACAGGAGTAGGGGTATCCATGATAAAGATAAGGGTATGCCTATGCGCAGAATGTAATAACGTGACAGTCGAGCGACCAATCAGAATTGTTATCAATTTACGTCATCGTTTCGTGGTAAATTTGAATGTATTATTTATCAGTATACTTACAACGCTCCTTGTAATCCACTTTAAAAAATACAAAAGATATTAAACACAAAATATATATATATATTAAAAAGCAATATTATAAATATAAAAATATTATAATATAAAAAGGAATAAGAAAAATAAAAATGTATAATATATTTCAGAAATTTATTTAACCCTCAGAGATAATAAGATTGAGAACACGCGTGAGACCACGCAAAAGAAAAAAATTCTATATCTGTATCCGTACGCTCTATGCTATATCGATTTGATTAATAAAATATAGATTTATAAAATTGCTATTTTTATTCCAGTTTTTTTTTAAATTAATGTCTCAAAGATTAACTTCAATAAAAGTGTTATTTTACCTTAGTGCTCAAGGATTAAAAATCAAACAAGAAATAGATTTCAAAAATGTATTTAATGAATATTTTTTATTACTTAGCTAGCTCTTTAAGTTATGAAAAGTTTATCATTTTTTCAAAAATATATTTTCCCCATAATTTATTTCAAACCAAGAATCGAAAACTTTTATGCATTTGATTAATTATTATTTTATTATATATACTAATATTATTAATTAATATTATTATTAATATTATTAATAATTATTTAGTTATATTAGTAAATAAATCAAGGAATAACATTTATTATATTTTCTTATACTGTTTGCATTAGTAATGTCACAAAAGACAATCACGGGAAGAAGCAATTTTTTGCACACACATCTCGAAAATATAATAAATACTAAATTCCTTATTGCTAACGCTGACTCTTATACTTAAATATATACTTTCTTAGAACCTTATCTTTAATAACAGAAATATCTCGATTTGCACAGACTTCACGCTATTTAATACAAACTGCTTTATCTTTTGAAAGTGAAAAATATTTCACCGCAAAATTTTTCGTTTTTCGATAATAATTTTTACAGCCTTTTACTGCACACTTCATTTTAATTTATGATCATAAAATACAATCACTTTATAAATAGACATGCTCGTAGTCGTGATTTGCGATCATGGCTATGTTTGCTTTGTCACTCACAACACTTTAAGCGTCGTTTCATCCTTGTTGTTTATTAAATATTAAACAAGGACAAATAATGTTCACAAGTGCTGTAGCGTCAAAACGAATACAGTCCATATTGCATGAACCCGAACCGCTCCGGAATTAATCGAAATCACTTGAGGCTGACGTAACTTGTTGACGGTCATATTTATCCCCTCTGTTTTCTATGGCTACTGTCCGATTCACGCTCACAATTCTCACGATGTTAATGATCAGTCCGATTCGTTATCGTGCTATCGATGATTTTATCTCGAACTGCCTGTTGATATAGATATCAAATCATGAAGCCCATAACTTATGTATCATACTTGTCAATAATAGATAGATATGGATCATATTGTCAAATGATGTGTGAATATCTATCCTTTCGGAAAGAATTGACAAAAACGCTTGATGTTGTGTATAAATTTTTGTTGTCAAATCAATTCAATGCGATGTGAATCCGGCGGTAATCAACGATGTTATAACTTCAATCCAATCAATCATATTTAATTATTGAAATAATTAATATTATTAATTATTATTATTATTATATTATTATCAATTACATTTAATTATTTTTAGTAAGCGATTATACCATTTATTCACAATTCATATTAGTCCTCTTTTCCCGTGCAAATAAAGTGGACGCTCACGCCGACCCATCTTCGGATGATCACCGTAAGCATGCGAATTCAAAAATCCATGACCTCACTTTGCTCACGCAAAACATACAGGGCGATTCCGTAACTATCTTTGTACACCTACCGACAGTTCTCGGTGTCGTTGCGCAGATATTTTATATAGTGAAAAAGCTGCGCAACAACACCGACAACTATTGGTAGGCGTGTAAAACAGTTACAGAATATAGGCCCAGAGCACAGTATATACTGTGCCCAGGAAATGAATTGGACCGGCCTATATCTGCGCAATGAGTTACCACCGGACGAACATACCTTTGTCTTTATATCCTAGAGATATCCACGTACGTATCGTTACGATTTTGTAAAATATACCGAAAACCCTTTTTGCTTTGTCAATTAATAAATAACTATACCTATTTAAAAATAAATTATGCACAACAAAAAACAAAACCCAGTGAGAAATGATAATAGAATCGATGTCGAATTAACGTCGATTCTATTATCATTTCTCATTGGGTTTTGTCATCATATAAAATATTCAACATCGAAATCATCAAATCGACGTCGAATCGACATTAATTACATTGTCATATTTCTCACTGGGAATGCTATAGCTGCAATTGTCAAATTATGTAATAACATATAAAAATAAATATGATTAAATATGATTCTTCCCGAAACAAAGGTTTAGTTTTCAGTATGTGTGGGGTATTTATGTATACATTTAAAAAAATTAACAATTAAATTACAAAGATATGTCTTTATAATATACGTAAAATACGTAAATATGACATATATGTGTTGAAAGTTGAAAAATGCAATTTATCAATATAGTAATCAAAATTTTTTCGGATTACAATTAGATATCCTGAAAACGTTTTATATTAATACAATGATAATTACAAATGTCTTGAGTTAATCATATGGACGATTTAATGTTTTGGATCAAAAAAATGAATCAATCTGATCAAATTAGGATATCTTAAGGAAATATATTGCTATGTGGGCTGTAAAAATTGGCCAATCACCTTCGAGTATTCCTTTCTGTAGTGTAGTCGTTATCAATAGATGTAGGAAGCGCTGCTATAGCATTTTCTTTTCTTTCCGAGCGGTATGAGATGGCGTGATGAGCGTAAGCGAAGGGGAAACGTTTTTCCCGACCATTGTTGTAATGGCGGTGCCAAGGATAGCGTGCATTTTGATACAGCAAATATAATAAGTATATAATAGACTTGGTTCTGTCTACTTCTGTTGTCGCGAGACCTTTCTTAAGCGTGCAAACATTACACTTTCTTACCGTCGAATAAGAGGAGAATACTTGACTGTGATTAGTCAATTTTTACAGATTACGGCATATGGCATATGGTTGCGGCTAATATAAACGCTCCCATATACGCTAACGCACACACAAACCTTCTCTTATATACGAGGTTTGTTTTCTATTCCTGTACGAAGATTACACTAGAACTTAACTGAACTAGTGCAATCGAGGGCACATATTCTGTACTCATAATATAACACAAAATATACCATTGCGCATAATGGTAATAGTAATATTGGAAACAACCAATCAAATTTTGTCAGAGTCGCTATTGTATAGACTGTTATATTTGTATACAATAAAATATTCTCGTAATAAAGTATGCATTTGTGTACGTATATTATTAGATTATTACAACTTCATATTTAATTACAATTTTCGTGCAATATATTATTTTTCCATACATAATTATTCAATTCATAATTACAATTTTCATATAGTATTTAATCAATTATTATTTTTAATTTATCTAATACTGTTTAATATTGTTGTTATTATTAATGTAAATATTATCTTTATATAATGAGTTCGTTAACATTATATTATTATATAATTCTGATTTAAAAATATACTAGCTATAAACAATTTTCATGACACGATCGAATTATGTCTTTTTTTTTTAAATCATTCTATAGCTTTACTATAAAAAACTCAAATTTATAAACGCCTTTCCAATCCACAACATGGCGGCGAGTCATGTGATCCTGCGACCCACTACAAAAGTATCGACGCTCAGTATCCATACTGTATGTACTTATACTATGCTATAGGTCTCCTTCTAGTTTTTTATAATCTGTGCTTCTAGTCTTCATGATTGTAGTATTTCGTGGATGTGACAGATTTTCTAACCTGAATAGTCGTCAACTTTAACGATTTATATTTCGGTTTACAGGGCAGAACGACGTTCTCTTCTCGTCAAATCTTAATTTTTACGCGAAAACGAATTAATTAAGTATATTTTTATCAAAATTTGTGGTGACCAAGGTACTCTCAACATTTATCCTTTTTTGTTAACCAAATTCTTTCGTTTTAAGCAAAAACACATCGAAAAAGCCTAATTTATTAATTTTTGAGGTGCAGGGGGCTAAACTGTATAATTACCATGTGTATGTATGGATTGTGTTTCACCAGAAGATAGTAATTTATTTTTCCCAAACATTATTTTATTATTATTTTCTCGCTTGCTCGTCTTTCTGCTCAGCGTATTTACTTGCTTCCGATCTATTCATCATTTGACAATATGATGCCAAATATGGATATATATGACAGTTTATATTTGTGAGTAGATTATAAAGAGAATACATTTGCACTTTATTTTGTAAAATACACATGGTGGAAAAATTATGTGTGCTGCCAATTTTATTATTCACTCTAATTATCAATTTTATTTCTGCCAAGATATGCCACTCCAGAGAAGTTTTTCGTGGAACCAGTCGGAACCAAGGTCCTGCTAGTAGTCGATAGAGTGAGCCAGCAGATCTATACTCAAGGTAATTAATAGACAATTTTATGTTTTTTTTTTAATTAAACTGAAGTTGATGATCTTTATTTCCTCTTGTAGTCGGCACTGCTAATCAGATTCCAACAACTGCCAGCCGTAGAAAAATATGGGGACTGGTAGGAACTATACATCTCTTGGCATGTCGTTACCTTATTGTTGTTACGGATGCTCAGATGTGTGGGACTATAGCTGGGCATAACATCTTTAAAATATCTTCAACAGATGTGATACCCTATACTAGGTCCTTTTTGCATTTGACTGAGAAACAGGTCCAAAATAATTCTACATACCTGGAGATGGTAAAATCTGTCTTAAACACACCATACTTTTACTTCAGTTATACCTATGACCTCAGTCATACTATGCAGAGGCTGCATAACACAACACCTGAATTCTTGCAAGTAAATATGTTGCATGTTTAGATTGCCACTTTATGCGGTGTTGTAAACAGTTTTATGATAAAGGACATGTCATTATTTAGATGCCACTTCATGACAGAGCAGATCCCAGGTTCGTATGGAACGCTTATCTTCTGCAGGACTTAAGC